AATAAGTTAAAAATTTTTTTTCAAAATCTCTCATCAATAACACAATAGTCTAGTGAAGAAAAGTCGAAGAAAGTAAAGAGAGACTTGTATATATTTCATTTTTTATTTGTTTGTTGTGATATTATATGATATCGGGAAAATGGTTACCTAAAGAGAGGAATAATTATTGATTAATTTGCAGATAGAATAATAATTAATATCTAGAAGAGAACTAAATCATGATAAAATACGGTGATTCGTATCGCAAAAAAATGAGAAACATGATTGAATGAATCACTTCTCATTAATTTTTATTGACGATATCAAGTATTGAAAAGATATTTTTCTCATTAAAATTGTGTCCATATAATGAAATAGAACAGGCATAATATTTCTTTTTTCGTTACGTGTATATTTCTATAGTGAAGTGTGATGCTTTGTACAATCGAAAAGATACATAATTAAGTCATATCTTCTCATGATTTCCAAGAGAAAATACATGCATGACAATATAGGACCGGAACTCTGTCAAGGAAAAGAGAAAAAAACAGGACAGTCGCGAGAGACGTCTTTTCTATCGAACGCTTCATTCTAAATCTAGCATATCTGGGGCGTTGCCGATGATTAAGCAATCGTTTTTACGCACCATTTATTAATTAAGCCACATTTACTTCCTTTATTTCTTTCCCATCTGGATTGTATTTATAGATCCTCACACCTTTCTATGCATAACTAATATTACACATAAATATTACAGGTATATGTATTAAATATAGACTTTGAAGCTACGCAAAGACTGTGATTGATCAAAAACTATCTATGGCTAAAGTTTTTTTCGAGCAACTGTTTGCACGCAAACCAATGAAACAACTACAAGAAGAGCTTGATACAAAACAAGGATTTAAGCGTACACTAAATTCGGTTCAACTACTTGCTATAAACCTTGGTGCTACTATTGGTGAGTGAGTTTGAAAATAATACATGTAGTAAGAGTTTTGAATCGTCTTTCTAGGTGCTGGGATATTTGTATTTAGCGGACAAGCTGCTGCAAAATATTCTGGTCCATCAGTCATTATTTCATTTGTTATAGCAGGTGTTGTTGCTCTATTGTCATCTTTATCATATTCAGAATTAGTAGCAATGATGCCTAGTTCTGGATCAGTTTACACTTATACTTATACAGGTCAGTTACTGATGACATACTTATTTTGCTTTCATCAACACTTGCTTTTGTATTGTTTTAGCTTTGGGAGGTATACAATCAAAAATATTCTTATACAACATTTGTTTTTTTTCTTATTCATTGTAGAATATTTAGCATGGTTTATTGGATGGAATTCTGGATTACTTTATCTATTCGGTACTTCTATAGTGACGGTTGCTTGGAGCCAGCATGTTGTCCTATTGATTGATATTTTATCTGATTATAATGTAACAAGCATGATTGTTCAAGCACCAATAGCTTGGAACGAAGACGCGGAACGTTTTTTTGTCACTGGCCAAGCGATAAATGTACCTGCTATTGCAATTACTATTGCAATTACAAGTCTTCTTATTATTGGCATTCGTCAAACAGCCACAGTTAATCTCGTTTTGGTTGTGTTTAAAATTATTACAATTTTAATATTTAT